AGGGTAACGGCAACGGGCGCCTTGGCGTGCGCCCCGCCAGGGTCTCTGTATATTATAAACAATGATTGTCTGTAGAATATCACTATAAGCAGCTGCTGTTGCAGTATACACAGGCGCTGCGGCGTGCATGGGCGACGTGGTGTTGCAGTGCACGCGGCGGCTGTGGTGTACGGACGCACTGTGCTGGAGAGTGTGTGATCCACCGCCGCTTTACTGTGGAAAATTGCGCCCCCCTCTTCCCCCGTAACCCGGGGGTACCCCCACCTGCTGGACCCCCCCGCCCCCCCCCCCTTTCCCCTGGCAGCCCCCCCCCCCCCCTTACCCCTCCCCTCCGGAAAACCGAAGGTTTCACTACTGGTTCGAAACCCCCCCCCCACCCTCCCCCTCCCCCCCCTCCTCCTCCCGAAAAAACGGAGGGGGGTCACTACCGTTCGACCCCCCCCCCCACCCCTCCCCCTCAGGAAAACCACGGGGGGTCATGATCGGTTCAAAGCCCCGCACCCCCCAGAAAACCGGGGGGGGGTCACTACTGGTTCGAGCCCCCCCCCCTCCAAAAAACGGGGGGGGGTCACTACCGGTTCCAACCACCACCCCCCACGCTCACCGCCGGCAAACGACTCCCCGGTCCCTACTACTGTTCGCACCACATCCCCCACCTGTTGTCCCCAGCACCACTGTCCTCACCACCACTGTCCCACTGTTCCCACCACTGTCCCCACTGTCCCCACCAGTGCCCTCACCACTGTCGCACTGTTCCCACTGCCCCCGCAGCTGTTCCCGCCGCGGTCCCCCTCTCCCCGCTTTCCCCACGGCGCCAACTACTGTCCCAGGGTCCCTGCTATCCCACTGTCCCACTGTCCCCGCCGCTGTCGCATTGAGCTGTCCCTCTGTTCCCACCATTGTCCCAACCACTGTCCCCACTGTACCTCTGTCGCATTGTCCCACCGCCGTCCTCGACAACGCCCTCACCACTGTCACCACCACCAGTGTCCCCACCACTCTCCCACTGTCCCCACCACGGTCCCACTGTCCCCACACCACTGTCCCCACCACCACCGTTCCCACCACTGTCCCAGAGTCCCCACCACTGTCCCATTGCCCCCACTGTTCCCACCATTGTCCCCGCTGTCCCCACCAGTGCCCCCACCAGTGTCTCACTGTTCCCACTCTCCCCACCATTGTCCCACCACGGTCCCACTCTCCCCACTTTCCCCACGGTCCCCACCACTGTCCCACTGTCCCCACTGTACCCACCACTGTCCCACTGTCCCCGCCGCTGTCCCACTGTGCTGTCCCACCGTCCCCACTGTCCCCACCACTGTCCCACTGTCCCCACTGTCCCCACCACTCTCCCCACTGTACTACTGTCCCACCACTGTCCTCACCACCGCCTTCACCACTGTCCCCACCACTACCGTCCCCACCACTGTCCCACTGTCCCCACCACTGTCCCGCTGTCCCCTCACCACTGTCCCCACCACCACCGTCCCCACCACTGTCCGCACCACTGTCCCACTGTCCCCGCACCACTGTCCCCACCACCACCGTTCCCACCACTGTCCCAGTATCCCCACCATTGTCCAACTGTCCCGAGGAGCGGGAATCGATTGCCGGCGGCGAGGGAGGGGTGGGGTTCGAACCGTTAGTGACCCCCCCCCGGTTTTCGAAGGGGGAGCGGCTCGAACCGGTAGTAAACCCACCCCCTTTTCATGATGGCCTGGGGGGGGGGAATGAGTTCAAACCCGCAGTGACCCCCCCCTGGTTTTCGAGAGGGGGGGGGGACGGGTTGGGAACCCCCAGTGACCCCGCCCCGGTTTTTTTCGCCAGCAGCGGCAGAACACGCTCTTTCTTACAATAGGATTATTAATCCATGGAAAATTGAGCGTCTCTGGATCCCACGGGACCCCATTTCTAAATAGGATTTGAAAAAGGAATCGCCATGGAAAGCGGAGCGCCTCTGAATTCCACAGCTGCTTGATCAAAAGGAATCCCTATGGATATTTGTGCGCCTCTGGATTCCATAGAAAACGAACGTTTGACATACACGCTTTGAAAGATCCCTATGGAAGCTGGAGCGCCTGAGGATTCTACACGCGTGCACCACACTGCCTGCGTACACCGCGACGCCTGTGTACACTGCTGCAGCCGCGCGCAACGAAGCGTCGGTGTACCAGCGTGCACCACAGCGCCTGCGTACACCACAGCGCCGGTGTGCACCACGCTGCCTGCGCCGCCCGCGGGAAGAGGCGCGGGGCTGCCCGGTCTTCATCTTCTCCATGGCGCTTGGTCTGCAATCAACACGTGCATTAGGGACGGGTGGCAAGGACGCAAGACCCTCGGAAGCCGAAGTTGGATATTTGTTGCGAAAGCTGGCCAATGAAAGCGGAAAATGACAGGCCACAGAGTCAAGGACACAAGAGTACCCTGGAGAAGGCGCACGTCCTCATGAAACGCGTTGACTGCATCGCACTGCGACCGAGCACCGGCCAGAAAGATGAGAGAGAGAGCCACCGGATGTTGCACTTGTGAAGACTGGTCAAACCCGCCTGCGGTAGCTGGGCCATCGCCAGCTGCTTTGGACGACGACGACGACGACAACGACGACGACGACAAAGACGACGACGACGACGGCGACGGCGACGGCCACAACGCCGACGACCGCGAGTGCCACAACACGCCAGTGAGCACCAGCGCGCGCCGTTCAGACCACGCCATGCCTGCGAGCACAGCACCCTACCTCCGGGGGGTCCGCTCCGAGCATGCAGAGGGGGGGGGGGCAGGGCCCCCCCCGCCCCCGCGGCAGGATCGTCAGCGTTCCCCGCGCGGGGGGAGGGCTGGCCCGGGCAGCGAGCGCTACGACGGAGAGGAGGCACAAACGTTCACCGTCCTCTGGCGCCCATCGCAAGCGACAGGGGGAGAGCCATCAAGACACAGCAGGGCGGCCGTGCCCTGCAGAAGAGGGAGCCCAGCGCGTTCGAGGCCTCGTTCTCCGTAGGGGAGCGGCATGTGCCTTGCACGCAAGCGCGCAAAGCGGCCGCGGGAGAAAACAAAGCCCAACGCGTTATGGGTCTCCAGAACACGGTCCATCAAAAAACGTTGTGGGCCTTCCGTCCACTTGCTGGGCTTTGGAGGCTCATGAAGGCCTCGTCGGGCCTCGGGGCACCGCCGCAAGGCTCCTTCGCCGATTGGCCCCCAGAGCCGTCGGTCCACCGGGGGGATGGACCGAGGGAAACGACATGGCCAAGCTCGTGGAGGGCCTGTAGGGCGCATATATCTTTGGCTTGCGCGCCTCTTGCGGGCCGTCCGGGGCTGTGGCGGGACGCTCGGGCCCGTCTGACGCCCTGGGCGGCCAATTTTGGAGAGCTCTCGGGGCCGTCTGGGGGCTATCCCAGAGCTGTCTTCAGAAGTTACTCTTCCCAACCATCCTGTGGTGTGGGGTCCTCGTTTTGGAAAGACAATCCCCGCGTCCCTCTCCATTATATTTCCTTATGGGTAGCTCCTCCCTGTCGCACCCCGAAGCCGGTCGGAAAGGCGGGCCAGGCGTGTCACCTGAGACTTCCGTACCACTCATGAGTCTGAAGCGTGGAAACAGAAAACAGTTTCACAGATAGAGGACGGGCCGCTTCCAAAATGTGGCTCTCGCCATAGCGCCGCGTACATTCGTTTCAAGAAATTGCAAGAGCTTCACGGATTGAGGGCGGGCAGTTTTCAAAATGGAGCTCTCGCACGCGCGCGCGCTCGTCTTAAACAATTGCAAGAGCTTCGCGGATTGAGGGCGGGTCGTTTTCAAAATGTGGCACTCGCCTTAGCGCCGCGCGCACTCGTCTTAAACATTTGAGGTGGTTCTACAGATTGAATCGATTCCTTTTCAAGATGTGGCTCTCGCCTAAGCGCCGCGCACATTCGTCGTAAGAAAGGAGCTTCGCGGATTGACGGCGGCTCCTATTCAAAATGTGGCTCCCGCCTTAGCGCTGCGCACATTCATTCGTTCTAACGAATTGCATTAGTTTCGCGGGTTCCTATGGTAACCTTCGACAAAGAATGTCTTCGAGCGACTCCAGATTGACAGGGCGCAAAAGTTACGTTGATTCGTGGTGCTGATGTCCCAGGAAAGTGGTGCGATTCAGCATCGTCTAGACGCAAGAGTCAGAGAGTCAGGTTGACTCGCGGCGCTGAAGTCCTGAGAATGGTGTTTTGGCGCGCTTCAGGATTTTCACCTGGTTGCCCCCCAACGGTGCACTTCCCTCGGTGGAAGTGAATCCTTGTATGGGGCCTATGGAGAGTAAGCCTGGAGGGAGGGTGTATCTCTACATCGTTCATGAGTCTTGGGTTTCCACTGGTCCTCCTCCTCCTCCTCCTCCTCCTCCTTCTACTCCTCCTCTTCTTCCTCCTCCTGCTCCCCCTCCGCCGTCCCTCCCCCCCCTCCTTGCCTCTGCAGTCCTTGTCGCCGTCGTCGTCGTCGTCGTCGTCATCAGCATCATCACCATCATCATCATCATCATCATCATCATCATCATCATCATCATCAGCAGCAGCACCATCATCATCATCATCATGACAATCACAATCTCCATCACCATCACCATCATCATCATTACCATCACCATCATCATCATCACCATCATCATCATCCTCCTCCTCCTCCTCCTCATCATCATCATCATCATCATCACACGCACCATCATCACCATCGCCATCACACTCATCATTACCAGCATCATCATCAGCATCATCACCAGCATCATCAGCAACATCGCCATCACCAGTTTCGGCATCATCATCATCCGCATCGCCATCGTATTCGTCATCATCACCACCATCACCATCATCACCATCATCATCATCATCATCACTATCGGCGTTCCCTATGTAATCAGCATCAACATCAGCATCATCAGCATCATCACCATCAGCATCATCACCATCATCATCGTCATCGTCATCAGCATCATTATCATCATCCTCATGACCACCAACATCACAATAACAATCGCCATCATTATCACCATTACCATCATCATCAATAGTCGTCATCATTTTACCATCGGCAGCACCACTATCATCATCATCATCATCATCATCATCATCATCATCATCATCATCAGCAACATCATCATCATCATCATCATCATCATCATCAGTATCCTCAACATCATAATCAGCGTAGTCATCACTAGCATCATCATTATCAATATCATCCTCCGAAACATCATTATCATCACCATCATCATCATCATTGGCATCATCATCATCATCATCATCATCATCATCATTATCATTTGCATCACTATCATCACCAGCATCGCCATGATCACCATCGTCAGCATCATCATTATCCTCACCATACTCATAATCATACTCAGCAGCATCACCATCGTCATCGCCATCGTCAGTGTCATCGTCAACATCATCAGCATCATCATAATGAGGTTCATCATCATCGTCATCGCCATCGCCATCGCCATCGTCAGAATCAACATACTGATCAGAATCGTCACTATCGTCGTAAACATCATCATCACCACCACCATCATCACCATCAGACTCGATCACCACCGCTCCGTGGCCCCACATTGGAGCTCCACCAAAGGGCTCCAGCGGCAAGGCCCGCATGGCGTGCCCGCCCGCGATTCGGCACACCCCTCACACGTTTCGTGGTCCATAGAGAGCTTCGCCGAGGGCCTCAACGGCAAGTCCCGCATGGCGTAGCCGCATCTGGCTCGGCACACCCATCAAACCTTTCGCGGTCCAATGGGGAGCTCCACCGAAGGCACACGCGGCAAGGTCCAGATGGCGGACCCGCACCCGATTCGGCACACCCCTCACACGTTTCGTGGCCCCATATGCGGCTCCACCGAAGGCCCTAGCGGCAGGGTCCGCATGGCGTGCCCGCACCCGATGCGGCACACCCTTCACAAGTTTCGTGGCCCTATGGAGAGCTTCACCGAAGGCCCCAGCGGCAGCGTCCGCAAGACGTACTCGCATCCGATTCGGCACACCCCTCACACGCTTCGTTGCCCCGTAGGGAGCTCCACCGAAGGCCCCAGCGGCAGCGTCCGCATGGTGTACAAGCACCTGATTAGACACACCCCGCACACGTTTCGCGGCCCCGAAGGGAGCTCCACCGAAGGCCCCAGCGGCAGCGTCCGCATGGCGCACCCGCACCCGATTCAGCACACCCCTCACACGTTTCGTTGCCCCGTAAGGAGCTCCACCGAAGGCCCCAGCGGCAGGGTCCGCATGGTGTACCAGCACCTGATTAGACACACCCCTCACACGCTTCGTTGCCCCGTAGTGAGCTCCACCGAAGGCCCCAGCGGCAGCGTCCGCATGGAGTACCCACGCCCCCTTCAGCACACCCCTCACACGTCTTGTTGCCCCACAGGGAGCTCCACCGAAGGCCCCAGCGGCAGGGCCCGCACGGCGTACCAGCACCCGATGCGGCACACCCTTCACACGTTTCGCCCCCACAGGGAGCTCTACCGAGGGCCCCAGCGGCAGGGTCCGCATGGCGTGCCCGATCCCGATGCGGCACACCTCTCATACGCTTCGTGGCCCCACAGGGAGCTCCACCGAAGGCCCCAGCGGCAGGGTCCGCATGGCGCACGCGCGCCCGAGTTGGCTCATCCCTCACACATTGCGCGGCCCCACTGGGAGCTCCATCCAAGGACCGAGTGGCAGGGTCCGTATGGCGCACCCGCCCCATGTTGGCACAACCCTCACTCCTCTGCCCCTGCTTCGTCTCGCTTTCCTCGCGGTGCCCGCAGTTTCATATGGTTGGGCCCTCCGCCAAGATAAATAGTTGCTCACTCTCTCCTGGCCCAGCCGCGTGTAATTGTACTGGCCCTGATCACCTCACAAGGTTATTCGCCAGCAGCGTCTTAGGCAGAGAGCTCCTGCCGGCGGATCAACTACAACGACGTCGCTTCGCTTACCTCTGTAGCTCCCAAAAAGAAGGTCGGTGCTGTCGTCGGGCCGGCGACCTTGAAACATAGAGGTGTGGATCTAAGTAGTGATGCTTAGACCGACTCTGCTGCATGCATCGCGTTTTTCAAGCTGGACTCGGAAGGGACGCTGAGGTGTGGTGTCATGCTCGCTATGCTCGCGGTTGTCCTGGTTCGTGTGACGACCAACTTAGCCTTGGAACTTCCATCAGCATCAGAACCCTCGTGTTGGACCACTGCTTTGAATCCAAACTTTTGGAGGTCATCGATATTCATATGGTCAGCATGATACTTCATCCTGTCGAGAAGGCCCTTGAAAAGAACCCGCCTCTCCGTCTTCTTCTTGCCAGTCTTCGTATCCTTTACAGTGACTTCGATGTCTGATGGGAAGACACGGGACTCCTGTTTGTCGATGGCCGCGAGGAAGTCTTTCATTTGCATCTGCTCGTCCATCGACCCCTTCGTCTTCAGGACGTGCTGCAGACCATACAGGCCCAGGAACGGCACCATGAGCCGCTCACGGTCGCAGCACTTAAGTCCCTCGTGATTCATGCGACAGCACGAGAGCTCACCTTCGAACACGTAGATAGCTTCGTTCATCATCGCGCTCCCGAGTCGCACCGGCTCGATCTTGTTCTGCGAGTTCGCCAGGTACATGTCGCCAACGCCGTGTGTCAGGGAGTGCGACAGCAACTCCGCGCGGCACCAGGCACGATTCTGGTAGGTCTCCAGGCTGCAGATCTGACACAGGTCCTTGTGCACCGCCTCTGGCGCGATCACGATGAAGGCGTGGGCGCTGGAGGCATAGATGGGCAGGCTCGAGATAGCACTCGATTGCTGCGACTTGTTCTTCTGGGGAATGGAGCAGACGTCGAGCCAGACGTGCACCTTTCCCTGGTCCCACTCCTTTTGGAGCGCGCAGTCGGCGACCGCTGACTTGGCACACTCGTACTGCAAATTATCGGGGTCGGGCGTCGTCCATGACAGCCACTGGTGCGAGAGGAATATGATGAAATTATGCTCCACGAACTCGTCGATGTCTTCTGGAGTGTCCAGCCATGCGAGCATGGAGCCCTGATTCTGACGGATCTCCTCGTGGGGTATGAACGAGCCCATGTCCATGAACGCCCCCATCTGAAGCACCGCCATGGGAAACCGCAGCACGCGCATCGCGCTCATCCCGTCCTCGATCATATGGAGCTGGCGTTCCTCCTCCTGCCTCTGCAGGCGCCTCTTCTGGATGAACGTGCGCGCGACCCACGCGGTCATGGCCAGCACCAGTCCTACTCCGATGACCGCGCCCACTGCGTACATGACGATCTCAAGAGTGTTATCCTCGTTCTCGGGGGGGTCGTACTGGCGGCACGTGCGCGGGTCGGTCGAGTCCATGGTGGAGCGGAACCTCTGGCACAAGTCGTACTCGCTGATTTGCTCGAGCCCCAGCGTGGCCCGGTACGTCTGAAGCTGGTCGATGATGCCGCGGTCCTCCAGAACACCATAACCATAAACTCTGTTGGCGCTCCGCGCGGATTTCTTGGATCTGGCCTGGGCCCCCCTCCCTGGCGCGCGGAGCGCGCCAGGGGCGGCGCCAAAGGCGCTGCCGGGGGTGCCCAGCGCGGATCCAATAAATCCGCGCGGAGCGCCAACAGTTCATGTTTATGGCGTGTTTTTCTTCTTCGGTCCTCGGAAGTCGATTTCCAGCCCTCCGTCACCTGCACCACAAGCTCCTCTGCGCTCTTCGTGCCGGCCCAATACTCCCTCAGTGCGGTGCCCATGACATCGTAGCTGTACTCTTTGATGCCGGGGATCCGCAGGTTGAGCGCGCCGTTGGCACTTCCGTCAAGCGACTTGTGCATCACACTGCGGTGCTCGTCGTAGGCGTCCCTCGGCCACGTGCTGTCCTCCACGAAATTCTTCCCCTCCGCGGTCAGCTGCGACATCCGCCACGAGTCGATCCAGCTCGCACGAGTGGCCACGTCGATGACCGAAGTCTCCGGAGAGTTGATGTACACAAAGAAATCCCAAATGGCATCCTTGACAACGGGGTCGGCGCTTTTCCGGATCATCGTCCCGAAACCTCCACTCCAGTAGAATGGAGCGCGATTGATCAGCTCTCCAGCGTGAGGAGACGGCACCAACACACTGGCCCTGTCGTCATCGGTGGCGTCGACATGGCCGTGGGATCGCACTGGCACCGCGCCTGGGCAGATGTCCTCCGTGCAGGTTTGCAGCTGGCCCTCGTCATTCAGCACCTTCAGGGAGCCGAAAGGAAGCTGGCGATAAGGGGCAGCGTAGCTGCCATCAGTCATCGTCGGCTGCCAGACGACCGTGCCGTTGTCCTTGCGCGACACGCCGTTGAGGAATACGCCCTTCCAGCAACCTGGAGGCGCGTAGCCGAGGAAGCAACGACCCTCGCTCATCAATGCTCCACAATCGCCCTCTCCAATGTTCCACAACTCTTTCCAGATGGCGGCCGCCTCTCTGAACGCCGGGTTGTCCAGCAGAGGCTCGAACGTCTCCACGTCGAAGTAGAAGCCGCGCTTGAGATCCTGAGCCATGGTCGCCCAGGTTGAATACACAAGCTCTGCGATCCACCAGTCCCATGTTCCTGCGCCGACCCGAGGGAAATGGCAGAATCCGAAGTCGTTCACGCCGTCGCCGTTCAAATCGGTGTCGTGGAAGCGCTTAGCCTGCGACACTGCCTCTTCCCACGTGTTTGGCAGTGGGAGGCCCTCCCTCTCGAGAATGTCGATCCTGACGAGTGGCACGAAGAAGTCACCATCGAACATCAGGAAATCGATGTCGTCTCCGCCGTCTCGGCGGTACATGCCCATCTTCTGAACCTGCGGGAAGAAGTCCACCCACCGAAGGCGCTCGGCGGAGGCGGCGATGCGGTCATTGAGCGTCTCGGCGAGGCCCAGAGCGCTGGCCTCAGGGAAATGCGAATAGCTCATGAGGTAGCCGTCGTACAACTCCAAGCCCGTGGCAGTCTTCGTGCCCACATCGGCGATGGGATCCTCGAACACGTTCGCGGCTTCGGAGAACACGATCCGAGCCTCAGTGGGCCCCCGATACGGCAGGGCAATGTTTGTTTACCGTTTCCGGAAATGCGTCTTGGAAATGGAAGCAGCAACGTCAACGGCGACCAGACACAGCAACAAACACGGCTCCGAGACTGGAACTGGAGCTGGCACCCGGACGACAACGGCAACGAAACCGGCACACAAACAGCGTCGGAACCGGCCACACTTTGTATACTTTCGGTTTTTGCTTTCTGTATAAAACAGTGATAAGTGCGTCGCAACCACGTCACAACATAGTCGCAATACGGTTATAACTGGGTTAGTGGGCTTACAGCTCATTATCAGGTGTCCGTGCTCTGTAACGGTATACGTGGTTAGTGTCATTATCAAGTGTCCGTGCTCTATAACGTGTTATAAAGGTTACAATGCCGTCGTGAACCAGCTATAAAGCACTTGCAAATAGCTGTGTTTCTCGGGGATGGACAGACCTCCCTTTAGTAAAACGTGGTTTAGTGAAAACGACTTCGGGCCCAAACCTGGCGGGCGCAAGCCTGGAAAATAACGGCCACGGCGCCCTCTCGAAAACCGAAAACGGACAATTCACTAATCGACGTGTCACTATTGGGGGTTATGTCCACCCCCGAGTTTCTTTTTATGATTCAGATTCGTATGGACGTGCACGATTTGTTTATGCTTCAGGGTGCTTCGGTTGTCCGAGCAGTCTCGGCAGGGCACCACGCCGTTAGCGCACGTGCCGGCCCACGGCGGCCCCAAAGACCCCCAACAGAGGCCCCCAAAAGAGGGCCCAAAAGAGGGCACCACTGTGGACCCAAAGAGGCCCCAAAGAGGCCCTCCCTCCTCCCTCCTCCCTCCTCCCTCCTCCTCCCTCCTCCTCCCTCCTCCTCCCTCCTCCTCCCTCCTCCTCCCTCCTCCTCCTCCTCCCTCCTCCTCCTCCCTCCCCCTCCTCCAAATGGGTCCGACGATAATCCCCCAAGAGGCTCGAGCAGGATGAGCTGGTCGGCCTCAGCAGGCCCCAGGCGTAAGAGGCCCAGGAGGCCCTGCGTGTGTGCGGCCCAGGAGGCCCAAGAGGCCCCAGAGGCCTTGCGGCCCAAGAGGCCCAAGAGGCCCAAGGGGCCCCCTTGGCGGCCCAATAGGCCACTGTGTGTGTGCGCGTATTGCAGCCATTTAGGCCCGAGCGTGTTGATTGGCAAGCCTACGTTAAGCTTCAGCTCGAACTCGACCACCGTCAACGTCGACGATGGCGGATTCCGACGCAGTGGCAGCGGCCGTTCCTTCTTTCGCCTTCGTTTGCATCGAGTGCGAGCAGGAGAAAGCTCGCCTTCCTTCCTCTTCTTCTACTCTTCCTCCCGCATCTCCTCTCCAACCTCGCTCTCTTCCTCCCTCCCTCCCTCCCTCCCTCCCTCCCTCCCCTCCCTCCCTCCTTCCCTCCCATCTCCTCTCCGTCCTCATTCTTCTCCTCCTCCTCTTCCTCCTCCGTTTGTCTTCTCCCTCCTCCCCTCCACCTTCTCCTCCCCCTTCCCCTCCCCCTCCTCCTCCTCCTCCTCCTGCTCCTCCTCCTCCTCCTCCTCCTCCTCCTTTCCTCCTCCTCCTCCTCCTCCTCCTCCTCCTCCTCCTCCTCTCCCTCCTGTTTCTCCTCATCCTCATCGTCGTCGTCGTCGTCCTCCTCCTCCTCCTCTCTCCCCGTTGTTTGTTTCACTGATTTGTGATCCCTTGAGGTTGTCGGCACTCTGGCGTACACCACGAAGGCAGGGGTCGAGAAGATGAGGTGCAAGGAGTGCAACGCTTTCCGCGGGAAACGCAACAGGTGGTTCGCAGCGGAGCCGCTGCTCAAGACCGCGTGGAACAGCATGTCCGTTCAGGAGCGCGATGAGTTCGTCGCAACGTACCGCACCGACCAGGACGGCCTGAAGCACCAACTTGAGACTCGGATCACGGAGCGCAAGAAGGAGGCCAAGTCGTCGGTGAGGGCTGGCAATGGCAGCTACTTGGACGAGGACGACGTGTGGGAGAAACAATTCGATAAGCCCCACGTAGCCAAATCAGTATTGGCCAAATCGGCGTCCTTCATCTGCGACATCACTGGCAGGAAGATGTACGAGGACGTCTCGTACGCCCGCACTCGTACAGATCGCCAGGAGCTCGAGACGACGACGGAAAAGCAGATCTCCACCGAGACCGCGGTCAAGAAGAGGAAGGCCCGTGCTGCCGACGGGCGGGCGACTCCTTCTAGCGGCAGCGGCGGCACCGGCACGCCTGCAGGCGGCGGCGAGGGCGTGCTCGATGAGCCCCCCAAGCCGCCTGCCAAGAGGCCCAAGGTGGTGACGCAGGCTCAGAAGAGTTCGGCCACCCAAGCTGGCCCTCTCCAAGCAGGTGGACACTCTCAGGATCAACGTCGATGATGCCGAGAAGTTCGGCGAGGATCGGCTCATGCCAGCATACCTCATCCCTGCCACCAAGGCGTGCATTGCTGAAATTGATGCGCTGGGCGCGCAGATCGACACCGTCGTCGCGGATGGGTTCGAGCCGCCCGAGAACTGAAGATCAACGAATCCGTGTCGGCCCCCATCAAGGACTTCAAGGAGAAAACGAAGGAGTTCATCCGCAAGCTTCTGCTTCCACGCACGGAGGCGCAGGAAGAGATGGGCCCTGCGAGGGACTCCGCGTCCTGGGCCTCCGCGTCCCGAGCCGCAGCCTGCCGCGCCTGCCGCGCCTGCCCCGGCCGGCGTGCGGACCAGGACGAGGCCGAGCTGCCTCCCCCCGAGTGCTACAGGGTGTCGTTGCCGCAGCCCCATGCCGATCATCCAGATAGGTAGCGCTGAGAGCATCTCGATTTCGACACCAGCAAGAACACCGCCCTGCCTCTATAGGTGTCGCTGCAAGTCGTGGGCGAGCAATCACTTGCGCCTGGCTTGTTTGTCCCGCTTTTGATGTTGTTCGGCACGCATGCGCCCTAAACCATAGGGCACTTATAGGGGAGGAAGAGTTCGATGGGGGGGGAGAGGATGAGGAGGGGTTCGTTTGTGTTCGATGCCTGCCAGTTCTTGTAGCTAGATGTGCAACACAGTCGCACGCAGCCAAATGCAGCATCGGGTTTCGCTGACAGTGCCGTGCCTCGCTGTGTAGCAGCCGCCGCAAAGAGCACATAATATATCAATCCTCCTCGATCCTCTCCCCTCCAACTTCAGCCTGCCTCCTCTTGCCCTCGCCGTCCTTGCTGCTGTCGGTCCTCCCCACCTGCCCCGCTATCTTTTTACTGCAGTTGCCCTTGGCCCTCATGCCCTCAAGGCTTCTCTTGTAATCACCTGCCCCCCCTCCCTCTGCCACATGTTCACGAGCCACTTCGTTTTCATGATCGTCAGCGTTACCATGATCGTCGGCTAAGGACGTCCGTCTTTCGTACAACTTGTGGTGGCATTGCTGCGGTGCCAACCGACAAAACAGAGTTTTGCATCCGACTTCCAGAAGCCCCAATGCGGGCCGGAATACGTAGGCGTGTTCATTTGATCTCTGGACGGGCAGAAACGAAAGGCAATGCGGCAACCACTGTAGCAGAGGACATGGAAGAGGAGGGCGAGGAGAGGGGGAGGGGGAGGAGGAGGTGTAGGAGAAGAAGGAGGAAACGGAGGAAGGGGAGGAGGAGGAGGAGGAGGAGGAGGAGGATGAGGAGGAGGAGGAGAGGAGGAGGAGGAGAGGAGGAGGGAGAGGAGGAGGAGGAGGGGGAGGAGGAGGAGAAGGAGGAGGAGGGGGAGGAGGAGAAGGAGGGGAGAAGGAGGAGGAGGAGGAGAAGGAGGGGGAGGAGGAGGAGGATGAGAACGAAGATGAGCACGAGGAGGATGATGAGCAAGAAGAAAGAGACGAGACGGAGGATGAGGAGTTACCGCCGTTGGCTGTCGCTGCCAACCAGCTTCGCCTTGCTCATAGGACAACCCCTTCTGGGGATTCTGCCTGACCCAACAGCACCCACAGAAAAGGTCGGCATCAAATAATCTTCAAAAAGACTACGACTACACACATCTACCACTACGACTACTAGAACATGGCAGCCCTGCGGTTGATCGGAAGATGATGCATATAGAAGAACGGGCGTCCTGCTGCTCCTCCTCCTCCATTTCGTCGTCGTCCTCCTCCTTCTCGTCCTGATTATCCTCCTCCTCATCCTCCTCTTCCCCCTCCTAGTCGTCGTCCTCCTCCTCCTTCTCCTCCTGCTCCTCCTCCCCTCCTCCTCCTGTCCTGCTCCTCGTCCTTCTCTTCCTCATCTTCCTCCTCCTCCTCCTCCTCCTCCTCCTCCTCCTCCTCCTCTGCCTCCTCCTCTACCTCCTGAAGGTCCTCGGGGGGAATCCAGTGGTCCCTTTCGGCCCAGCTCATGATCACAAGCTCGTCGCCACACCCGTCAACAGGGCCGAAGGGGGAATCCAATGGTCCCCCTTCGGCCCTGCTCATAATCACAACCTCCTCGCCACGCCCTCCTCCTCCTCCTCCTCCTCCTCCACCTCCTCCTCCTTCTCGTCCTCCTCCTCTTCCCCCCCCCCTCCTCCTCCTCCTCCTCCTCCTCCTCCTCCTCCTCCTCCTCCTCCTCCTCCTCCCTCCTCCTCCTCCTCCTCCTCCTCCTCCTCCTCCTCCTCCTCCTCCTCCTCCTCCTCCTCCTCCTCCTCCCCCTCGGGCCGACAACCGGAGCCAGCAGGTTCCGAGCCAGCGCGCCTGCGAAACAGACGGAAGGGCCCGCTCCCCGCACGTCGGTGCGAATGCTGTTTCGAGGCGACGAGTCTGGCGTTGGCTTCAGAGGACCTTGACCTCGGGTCTCTCGCTTGGAAACTGACTCCTTTCTCGTCACGAATTGTTCCACATGCCGCGTGGCCCCGTCGGGGGCTGGAGGATTCGGGTGCGGCACAACATTATACTTTGATATAACAAGCCGTGCTTTGGTTCTGGCTCAGAGGGGTCTTGGCCGCGGTGCCTGGGTTATGGGTCAGGGTCGTCTTGGGCGCTCGGGCTTTCCCACCACAGTGACTGGG